CCTCACTCCAGTTAGGATTCTAGTTTTAATGTTTTACGTGTGAAGTCCAGACTTTCAAGTCAACAAATTGTAATCTTGTGGGTATGGGATGTTCAGGTCAACTTAATTTTGCAGCACTGTTCACTGGTGTACATCCAGTGGTAGGAAGCACTAATCTTGCCAAATCAATCTGTAGGTTTTGTAGGTCTGTACATCAAGTTATTAACGATTTGTTGAACGAAGACCAACCTGGTGGGTGAAGTAGCTGAACATCACGATGCACTGGCAGTCGTCACACCAGTCCCATACTGTACATAATCTAGTCTTGTATGGTAGATATTACCCTGTAGAATGAAACTTAGTTTTCACTTAATTTTACTGGAATACTTACGCATTAAACTGTATAAAGCTTTGCAGATACACCTGACTTATGGAAACTAAAAAAACAAAAAAAAAAAAACAAAAAAAACCTGTTACTGGTTGCATTACTGTGAACACTGTTTACTTGTGTAGCTGTTTTTTTGTGAGGGGAATCCATTGTTTGTTAAGCAGCTATTAGAGATGCAGAGTACTAAGTTTAAGCTAGGTGATGGATATAACAAAATGAGTTGTTCTCATTTATTACTGATAGTTTTGTTCTGCACTTTTAAGGCATTTTGTGGCATGGAGGTCTCGAAGTTTATACGTAACAAGCAAGCTGTCAGTTGCCCCCAGTTACAGCGGTGGTCTGGCTTTCCTTCTCCCAGACTGGTTATTTTAACACCAACATTTTAACAGTTGTGTTTTTTCCTCTTTTTTCTTTTCTTTCCCATTCGGTTGATGTCTGAAAACCATTGTGTAACTTTGAGTTTGTCAGAAACTGTGTGGTTAATGTCACTTTGTTTAATAACAAACTGCAGAAACAAAACTGGAATAGCTCTATTTTCTTCATATGTAACTGATCAGCTTTTCCTCTGTTCTGATGCTTACATACTAAATCTAAAGCTTCTCCCAGATGAAGTGGAAAGCAGTGCGGTTCTGTGGCATGACTAGCATTTTTCTCCATGAGAAATGCAGTATTGCAGTCCTGGTTGAGAAGTTCACTGTACTTCTGGAACGCTACGTTAATTTCACATAGCATTTGGGCAAAGAGCGAGCATAGATTACTTGAATTTTCACTAGCTTGTTTTTTTTTTCCATTAAAAAAAAATGTTTTTTAAGGGGTTTAATATAAAGTTAGTCTAGAACTATTTCACTTTGTTTTTATGAACATGCCACATTGATAAGCAGCTTTAATCTGTAAAGTTTTTTGGTAACTGCAAGAAAATATTCGAAAGCTATGCATTTTAGAGAAAGCATAAAGGTAGTCATAATGGTACTTCTAAGGATCTTTATATTAGTGTATATAAAATAGTTTGCATATACAAATATAATATATAATCTGTTTGAAATATTCTTGGATGGTAGGGGCTGTGAAACATAATTTATGGAAATATTGTACACAGTAAACAGACCTCTGTCAGTACACGAATGGACTTTTGTCATATGCATGAGAAATGTCTTATTTGGTGACTACTAATGAATGGGATTTTGTTAACCCATTTTTGTTAGATAACCACTTTAACAAATACTATTAAATGCCACTTTGAACAGTTTGCTTTAGCGTTAAAATACATATATTTTTTTTTCCCCCACTTAATTTAGAATACTGAGAATAACTTTTGTATGAAGGTTTGTTCCAAACTCAACGGTGGCAAACAAATGTGCTGCACTACACTCATTCTTCCCTCAGCCTTCCTCTTGCTGAAAGCAAGTAAGATTATTTTCTTTTCAGCACTGCTATGAACACGAAGAAGTCAAGTTGTAAAATATCTTGTCTTGGCTCTGCCAAAAGACTTGATATGAAACGTGCTTTGATTGGACTACGAATCTCATTCCTTCTCCAAAATTGTCTCCTTAATGGCTGTCTGTTGGCTGTTACCATGTTTCTTTTCTGCCTGTCCAATCTAAGCTAAACTGGTTGCTTCTGTTGAGTCGTTTGTGAAGGGTTAGGGATGGTGGGTTTCCATGAAGATGAAATACTGGCAGGACTTTGAGAAAAAGTTACTGAACTGCTCAATTTATATAGCTGGAAAACCAGAGGCTGCTGAAACCAGAAACTAACAGCAGAATTTTAAGTAAAGCATTTCCTCTCAAGACCTTTAAAGAGGAGAACACAGCTTGAAACTGGGACAAGTACCTCTCAATCTTGAGATGATTTCATTGAAACACTTTCTGCTCCTTCCACCTGCAGTAAAAGAAACACTGAAATGAACATGGAGAGCACTTATGTAGCATTAAAAATGTGTGAAGTTACCTGGACGTAGTTCTGTCTCCTTTCCACTCCTTGTACGTATAGGTGAAGCCATTACATTCTTATAGGATGATTTCATTGGTTTTAATTTACGATGTTTATGCTTTGTATGCTTGAGTCTAAGCTTAAAAGCACTGCTTTAAAAAAAACAAAAACCAACACCGTCACACTCACCCAGGTGAGTGGTGCTCAACTTATTTCAAACCATTTTCTGTCCAAGTTCATTCTGAAGCTTTATTCAATTCAGTTGGAGCGTGATCCCTGTGTGTCTGACCTTCATGGACCTCCTGTTAGCAGCAGCTGAAAGCACCCTTCAGGTGATCACCTGAATATCAGCAGAGAAGGAGTCGTGTTTTGCTCTAGGCCTGTCTTCAGCACTAGAGCAACGTGTGGTGGCTTCTGAGCCACTGCACATCCCTCTTCCACATAGAAACATTGTGACTGGTGAGCATTAGTTTCTGCCATCAAGTTCTTAGTGAAAATGGCCCAGAAAACTTTTTGAGCAGTGTTGTCTCCTGCAAACTGCAGTTGGAGTTTCCCTTCAGGAGCTGGCAGTTGCCTTTTATGGAACATGTGAACCTATTACTATTTCTCATATACTCCAAAAAAGGCAGAATTGGGACATAATTTGTGCTGAACTTCCTAAAGTACTCAAATGATGCAACCATTGTGTGGATGAAATTCAGTGCTGGTGTATGTCAGCTCAAATATTATCCCAGTAATCTTTTGTTTGGTTTAATCTTTTGGCAGATTAAACTGAACACAGGGAAAACAAGAGGAGATTGTGTTCTCAATTGATTTTTGAAGTCGGTGCTGACTTGTTTCTGTTTGCCATGTAATCACCTTGATGGGATGTTTGCCTCCAGAAAGTAATGCGGCAATGAAGAGAATGCTATCGATGTTCTCACTTTTTTAATGGATGTTCCAAGTTTGCTGTTAATTTTATATTCAAACATATATATATGTTATAACTACGGCTATTTCTCAAGGTAAAATCAGCTCTCTACTGTAGAAGCAAGTTAGTCAAAGTGCCTGTGAGCAGTGAGGAGGAAGTGTAAGAGTATTTACTTCAGTAAATAGCCAACACTGCAGTGTCGGATGCATCCTACAACAGAACTGAAACTTCACATAGCAGTGTCTCAAATGAGTGTAAGTGGGTTTTCTCTATCCGTGATTGCATACCCAAGCCCTCAGCTCCTCTGTGCTCTCCTGGACTCATGAGATAATTTCACTTCTGTACTTCTACATAACTCTAAACACACACACTATTAATATCCATACACATCTCTCATAACAGACTGAAGGATGTTTGATTTTTGGCTGCATTTTCTCATGCCTTGGCTCCCCCTTCTGGAAACAGTCACAGCAGCAGAGTGAGTTAAAACACCTTTGCATGGTTTCCAGTTATGTATCCAAATAACTGAAAGAAAGCTGACAACACGACGAAGGCTGAGCCCTGTGGTTACTCTGCATAGTTCCCCTCGGTTTGCACTCACACCAAAGCCTGTTGGTGTTGTTTCCTTTCCCTGTGGGTAGGCAGGTGACTGCATGTGATTAAGCCATGGGTGTTTTGGGGGAGACCTCTTTCCTCAAAACGCAGAGGCAGTGAACATGGCATGATTGTGTGTCTTTTGCTGGAGCCCTCCTATTTCAGGTCTGGAGCTGTCTGTGCATGAAGAACCTTTTGCTACTTCACTCTCTAGAGTTCAGTTCAATATTGCCCCTCTTAATTTAAGTTAATTGCTCTTCACGGACTTGAAAAGTATTCTTTCTCAGAGAAGAATGGGTAAGTTAGCTTAAGAGCTAAGTTTTGTTTTTACTGAGCGGTCACAGACCCCTGATTTTCCTGGTTGTAGGCAGGCTTTACTGGCTGTGCACATCACTGTGCTTTTTGGTGCAGCCAGGAGCTTCAGCATCTTCCCCAAGGGCTGTGTGCCACCTGGCCAGGCTGAGTTGTGCCATACCCACATCCAAGCTGCTGCTGGTCGTACAGTCACCTCAGTGATGTCCTAACAGCTGCTCATTCATATTCCTGAGGTGACTCATCGGTCCTCTTGGAGTGAGATAACCATTATTTTAATTATCTATTTCCATACAGAAGTCTGATTGTATTTGACATTTAGAGGATAGCAGCAGCTCTGTCCGGCAGGGTAAAATCAAACTGCAACAACATGAATTTCTATTCAATTTCTCCTTAAATTGGGTGGGCAAATCCAGAGGGAGAGATATTCCTGCCGGCACATCTACGAAAGGCAGAGGAGCGAGGGGCTGTCCCGCCAGTAGTGCAAACCGCATCGCAGTTTTTGGATGTTGAAGGGTGAGGATGTTCTTTCTCTTAAGCCCCCGCGATGTTGCCGGTGACGGCTTAATTATTTACTGGAGGAGGAGTTAAAAAGAATAAGAGGGGTAAAAAAAGAAACCAGCAACACAAAGACCAAGTTTGAGGGAAAAGGACGGAAACGCCAAAGCTCCGTTCCGCACCGACCGGCGGCCGAGCGCCTTCCCCGGGCACCGCGAGTTCGGGGCTGCCCCGGGGCTGGATGCGGAGCCGGGATCCCGCCCGCCCCGAGAGCTATGCGGGCGGCCCCGGCATCGTGGAGGGCGGCGGGACTTCCCGGAACGGCCCGGCGGGGAGGCGCTGACACGTGGCCGCGGCTCGGCAGGGGGAGGGAGCCGGCGGCGATGTGAGCCGGCGGGGCCGGAAAGCGCTGCCCGCATGGCCGCGGGCGGCGGCAGGAATGCGCCGGTGTACGGAGGAGAGCACGGCTACCGGGCCCCGCAGCACGACGGCATGAGGAGGGATGGAGGCGGGGAGCCGTGCTGGTCCAGGTGAGGTTGCGGCGTTCCCCGGGCGAGCTGGGCAGGCTCAGCCAGGAACCTCTCCGCAGCTCCTGGGGCTGCTCCTGCGACGTGCCGGATTCCGGACGGGAGATTTCGGAGATGCTCGAGGGTCGGAGGGCACCCGGCCGTTGGGTGCTGGGCGGTGGAGGAAAACCCCCGATGGGCGAGGTGTGGAATTGCTATGAATCGCGGGGGGGGAAAAAAATCTCTCCGATCTATTTCTGGCCTGCAGTCAGTTATTTAAACATGCCGTCGAAACTAAGGCGAGGTTTATCAAAGTGTTCCAGCCGGGATGTTTGTACTGCTGATAGCGATTCATTAAGATGAAGTCTGTAAAAGGAGAAGCTCACCAGCTCGGAACTATTCCTGTTCTTTTCCTCTCCCCAAACTGCCTTGGTACGATGCCATGGAGGAAAAGGTTGGGCACTGGTGGGCTGGATGCTGACTTTCCAGCACTTCAGAACCCAAAAATTCCATGCTGTCTCTATGGTGTTCCCTGTGTTACACCACGATTCTCACAACGTGCTTCTACCTCATCCCCACCTGGATGCACTTCTGCCTGGGAGTCACAATTTGTTTGCAAACTGCCTTCCTTCAAGGAGTGCTGAGATGCTGCTCTCAGGTGTAGGGTTTGGGTTTCGGCTTTGCTGCATTCATTGATCACCGTGGATCCCTTCCAACTCAGGGTATCTTATATTTCTAGGAAAATATTTAGCTCTCCTCTTAGGTCGAAGTGACCGCTTTAAGCAGTTGGGGTGTAAACGAAAGCGGTGGTTGATGTTGACTGTGGGTGAATTATTTATCAAGAAAGAAGCGTTTTTAGAGAATTCTGACCATGTTGCTGTTAGTGATTGAAAGAATTTGGTCTGTGCCAGACCCACACACACCCATACCTTCTCTTGTTTGGGGGTCTCAAGCAAACAAGTGGGAGAGGAGCGTTCTGCCAGGTTAGATGGGCGGGTTGGTGTCTGGGTGGTAGAGGTGCAGAACGTGGCTGGTGAGGTGGTTAAAAATCAGCGTAGCGGACAATTTTTGATCAAGGTATGCGATTGAATAACAGCTCTTGACATTTCAATGCATGGATGAATTGCCGTGGAGGCAAGGTTTTATCAAGTGGGGGAAGTGACACGAGTTCCGTGTTCGTGCTCCAATAAAAGCCCCGCCAGGCTGCCTCCCAGGATCTGCCTGCACTGTCAGTGCAAGGAGAGATAAGCGCTTATCTTGGCGGGTTTATTGTTCCATCTTTGTTCGTGATGCTTCTTCTTTTGTCCTCCTTTTTTTCAGCCAGCTCTTCCTTCCTCTTGCACTGTTCTTTCCCTGTGGTTTGCCCTACCTCCCCAGCTGCCCTTGTCAGACTTTTTGGTAGGTAGGTTTCCCGTGGCTGTGCTATCACACGTTATTATCTGTATCGTCTTTCTCATTCAAGAACAAGGTTTGGGGATTTCTGCTTGGAGCTTGAAAAGATTGCTCGTGTTGTAGCACATCTGGACATTTAGATAGAGCTTTTTGTTGGAGATCTTAACATGCCAATCGGGGCCTTCTGGTTGGACTGGTGGGAAGGCTAAGGCTCCAAGAAATCTATAGCCAAAAGTTAGAAATAAAGCCATGGGCAGATCCACCAGTGACACAGAGACAACATTTTGGATGGTGCATCCAGAAGAGGAATAAAGCACAGAAAAGGCAGTGTGTCCTGGGAAGAAAACGGCTTCTGAAACCACTCTGCCTCTCCTAGCCTCTGGCTACACCTAAAGACAAGGGATTATTATTATAGCAGTTTCTCTCAACTTCACAGATGAAAGGAGCTGTACCATGGCCACGTGCTGCTCTCCAGTCTCCTGACTGCACTTCTTGCCCCAGAGATCACATTGTGTTCCTGAGCTCTGTACCCTCGTCTTTTGTCAGCCCATGTTGCAGCTTTTGTTGCTTCTTTCTTTCCTTTGCTGGTTGTTTCATTATCCAAGTTCGTCAGTCTGATTTTAATTGTGCCTTTGCTGAGAACTTTTCACATAGAGTACGTAAGCAAGAAATGCATTTCATTTATGTCTGATCCATGTCCATTTTATATCAGTGTGCAAAGCATGTGTGTGCTTTGTTATTACATTTTCCCACCTTCTCCACCTGGACTAAACAACTATTTCCAGCTCATGAGAGCAGCTCAAATCTAATTTTCATCTTTGCTTTTGCCGAAAGCAAGAAATGAAGAGAGGGAATAAACTGAGAGCTGCGCTTGCTGAACACCACTTTGTTGCCATCTGTGGCTCTGCAGAAGAAGTCTGTGCACAGGAGGCGAACAGGAAATCAGCAGCTTTCCCAGTAAAAAAAGCCCTGTGTCCTCTGTGCTCTGGCTGGAAAAAAGCTTTCTCTGAACCAAAATGCTGCTTTTGACAGTGAGAAATCACCGGAGTGGAGCCAGTCTGCAGCGTGAGGAGGGAAGAAAAAGCACTGCCTGAATACTTGTGTTGGGTTTTTGAGAGAGGGAGGAGCTGTTGATAGGAGGAACAAAGAGAAGTGAGAGGGTTGTTGGACAGAGTTAAAAATAACCACCTGGGTGTTACCTCCTTGCACCATGGCAGGCAGGTGCCACTGTGTCGATTGCTGTCAATTAAAGCAGGCGGTGGCTGAGCTGGGGCTGAGGTTTGCTATGGAGCTGTCATCCTCCTGCCAGGTGGCCCCATGCTGGTGCCAGCAATGCTGTCCCATGGTTTGGTGGCCCTGAGGTGTGGCTGGGAGCTGGGTCTGTCCCTGCTGATAGCCTGAATTTCAGCAAGTTCATTTCAACAGTGACCTGCAGTGCCTGCAAACAGAGCCGCGGGCTGAGGGCAGGCAGGGGGCACATCAAGAGAAATACAAGTTGAATCAATATTTGCTTTGTGGCACCTGTTACAGATGTTCCTCCAGCAGGATAACAGGCTGCAAATAAAGGTACCCTGTGCTTCTGGTTCTCTTTCCACGGTGGGTTTCCTTACACACTGGTGTCAGCCATTGTGCCCTTGGATGGGGCACGGTGGGGTCTGAACCCTACAGAATTGTTGGGTGCCTCTGAGCAAAATGGTGACCCATTGCCTGGGGCTGTAGTGGGGCAGAACCAAGGGACATCACCAGGGCTGCTCACCACAGCGCTGCTGCCATACAGACAGCAGCCCAGAAAAAGTCATTAGGGCTCAATTACAGTCCTCATGCTAACTATAGTCCGTCTGGGTGGTGGTTGGAGGTTTGTGAAGTAGGAAGTGTTTTCTAGCTGCATGGCTGCTTTATTTGCAAATTGGGTCCCAGAAGAGGATGCAGCTGCAGGTGCTGTTCTTTGCACAAAGGAAGCTGCTGAGCAAGGCCGCAGGTTTAGGCTTAGATGTGCTTCAGTCTTACTCGGTTTGGTTGTTCCCAGCTCAGATTATTACTCCCTCATCAGAGAAACAATTTAGGTAAATTTACTAATGCTGCTAAAGCTCCACTTCTCAGAGGGCAGTTATAATCTCCAAAACCTTACATTTGATTTGTCATTACTGCTTAGTTCTGAAAGCAGAGTTTTTTCTCCCTTCTGCTAACCCAGGCTTCTCCTGTAACCTTTGCTGCTGTTGTTTTGTACTGACAGAACATTGACTCATCGGCAGCCTCTGTGATAACTATAATTAGGAGAAAATGCGTTTACAAAGCTCTTTCCTCTGATGTAAACACATCATTGTCCTTGCAGAGAAGCAATTCTTGCCGTGCTTCAGGTGGGTGTGGGCACACTCAGACTGTCAGAGTGGATTTTCCTTGCTGGATATGCTACCTATGGAGCAAGTGGTAATTTGCAGTCCTTATGACAGTCCACGCTTGTTTTGAATGGAAGTGTCTACTGATAACAGTATAGGAAAAGGGTATAAATGCAGTGAAGCAGTGATCGAGACGTGCACTGCCTCAGCAGCCAAATGATAGTGAGTATTGACACTCATTGCAGGTGCTTTACTTGGTCGCCCCAATTGTTCAGGTTCACTGACTCAAATTAACAGGCATCGTGCCACTGCAGATAAGAGGGAAGATTAGGGCTCCAGGCTGGCTGCAGAATGAGTAGGAGCCAAGCTCTGCAGGTGATGAATAAACACCTTTGTTTTTGCTGCAAGTTAAAGTGTGATCATTGGATCATAAACTCACAGAATCATTTAGGTTGGAAGAAAGACCACTAACACCCCCAGGTCCAACCCCTACCCACTCCACTGCGCCCGCTGACCCTTGGGGACACAGGTCTGGAACACCTCCAGAGATGGTGACCCCACCACCCCCCTGGGACCTCACAGCTCCTCTGCCCTTCTCTGGACATGCTCCAAGGCCTCCATGTCCTTCTTGTAGTGAGAGACTCAAAACTGAGCACAGCACTCAAGGTGAGGCCTCAGTAGTGCTGAGTACAGAGTGACAGTGTCCCTCTTACAGCACATGCCCTTCTGACAGCATAAGACCAAGACTCTCTTGTATGTCAGCTGAGTCAAGTGACCGAGGCAGCACAACCTTTGGTTACTCATTCTTCCAGCAAAGATAAGTGAGGTTCCTGCACTATTCAGTAGTGTGTGTGCACAGTCAGTACAGGTCCAACCTTCAAAGCCCCCAGTTCTTCCTGCCAGGGCTGGCACAGAGCTGCCTGTTTGCCTTGGCAGGAAATAGCAATAAATTCACCTGGAACAGTCCAGAGGCTCTGAGTGCTTTCCTTTCCATTGTTCCCTTGTCTCCCTCCTTGACGGACAGGTTTATTGATGGTCTTGTGCTGTGTGGGATTAACCTACACTGGTCATAAATCCAGTACAGTGGAATAAGTGCTCCTTTCAATGCAGGAGTGCAAGTTGTTTCCCATGCAGACAGTGGGGTGGAAAGCACAGAGATCGGTGCCCCAGTACAGTGAATTCCAGTCTACCCTGGAATGGACAAAGCTTGTTTGCTTTGTGCTCTGCTCAATGGACGCAAAATTAACCAAATTTAACATAGGAGGGTCGCATCCTGTTTATTTCCATGGAAGCTACAACAGCTACAAAGAGCACAATAACACCATTTGACAGGGCAAGTGCTTAGCTACAAAAAAGCACTTCCCATGTAGTCACCACCACTAGGTGTTTTTGCCAAGGATGAACAAGAGTCTGTATGCCACACTTGGACAAGTCTGCACTATCCACTGCCTCACTGTGCATACATCCACTGTTTGGTTTCCATCAACATTCAGCAAGCATCAGTGAATGTCATTGGATGCCCTTTTTTCCACATGGAGGAATTCAGTTCCATACATTCTTCCATGTGAGGTGTTTTTCTGCTGCCATCTGTCAATGGAATGCAATATTGTTGAGAAGGTTCAATCTCTATTGCCATACCACTGGCATCCACCTCTCATGGGCCAACATAGTAAAATAGGAAGCACTACTTTCGGAGCAGCCCTCCTGAATAGTGTGTATGTTCTCACTGAGCTTATTTTTTCATGGGCACTGGGAGACCCAGCCTACAGACCGGTCAGGAGTAAATACCCCCTTCTGCAGGAGCACTTTCCTTGGGGCTGGGTGCTCATGTACCAAAACTGAGCACGGGCTGCAAACCCATCCTTGCTTATACGCTGGGTTACTCTGCTCCTCGCTCTGGGCTCTTCAGCCCCACAGTCCCATCTCTCACTAAAACACTCTTCCATCCATGTCACATTTACGAAGGGTAACGTGCCACCTCCCCTGGGGAATGAGTTGGAGTGCCAAACAGCAAATATTTGCTTCCAACATGGTCTGTCACGTGCTGCCCTTTCCTTTGTTACCCTCTAAAGAACACTTCCCGGAGCTTTTGTTTGGGACAGAAAAAGACAGCTCTGCCAGGCACATCCACTCAGCCATTTCCCCACCTTCTTTTTGCCCCGTTCAGACCCGAGTGCCGCGTGTGGACGGTGATGCTGCTGCTGGGGACGTGCCTGCTGTACTGCGCCCGCGTCACCGTGCCCATCTGCGCCGTCGCCCTGAGCGCGCACTTCGGCTGGGACAAGAAGCAGTCAGGAGTCGTGCTCAGCAGCTTCTTCTGGGGCTACTGCTTGACGCAGGTCGTCGGAGGACACATCAGTGATCAGTACTGGGAGTTACTTCCGTTTCTATCTTTTTTTTTTTTTTTTTTTTTTTTTCCCCTTCCATTTTCTGTTTCCATTTTTGGTTTCTGTTGTTTCCATTTCTATTTTCCCCTGCTTGGGTTTTCTCAGTAGCACAGAGCTTGGTTTTGACCTCTCGCTTCAAGTTTTGGTAGTGCCACCTTTCACCCTGGGAGAGTAACAGAGCAAAGGGTGAAGCCTGTCTGTGGGGAAAGGCTTGATGGGTTTCTTTATCGGCCCTACCCAGGGTCTTTAGCCCTGATTCAGAAAGTATACATGCAGTTTTGACTATTTGTTTGGATGCCTGGGTCTTAAAATTGGTGCTGTGGTTACAGTGCAGCATGCACCAAAGGACTTAGCACAGGCATAATTCCCATCAAACAGAGGGAGTGCCCCAACCATCCCACAGAGCTGCCAGAGAGACCTACAGGTATGTTAATGCACACGTAGACCAGCGTGGTGGTTGTAGACACGTAGACCAGTGTGGTTTCTGTTCACCTTTAGACAGTGAAGACCACTTTTATACCACCTGAATTTTTCTGACGGAAGTGGCTTTTGCCATTGGTTCAGTAACTGTGGTAAAAAAAGCAAAGCAGCAGCTTGGAATTTCCTGCATAGGGGAGAATTCGCTCTTAAAAGCTAGCAGAGCTGGGAAGAAGGCTTGAGCTTTGGCAGGGGCCTTTGCCCTTTTGCCTTTGCCCTTTTGCCTTCTGCTCACTTTCTATACATGTTCTTTTCCTTCCAGAATAGGGGGTGAGAAAGTCCTCCTCCTCTCAGCATCAGCATGGGGCTTCCTGACATTCATCACCCCACTGCTCACCCAGATCACGTCTGCACACCTCGTCTTCATGACCTGCTCCAGGTTCCTCATGGGGCTGCTGCAAGGTGAGAGCCACGTCCTGAGTGCAGGCAGTGAGTGCGTGCAAGTTCAAAGAATTACTGAATCATTTGTGTTGGAAGGGACCTTTAATGCCCATCTGGTCCAACGCCCTGCAATGAGCAGAGACACCCACAGCTCCATCCATGCTCAGAGCCCCTCCAGCCTGACTTTGGGTGTCTCCAGTGATGCGATGGGACACCACCACCTCTCTGGGCAACCTGTGCCAGTGCTTCACTGCCCTCATTGTAAGAAACTTTTCTCGTATCCAATCTAAATCTCCCCTCTCTGAGTCTAAAACCATTTTCCACTGTCTTATCACAACCAACTCTGCTAAAATGCCCATCCCCAAGGCAGCTATCAGGTCTCCATGGAGCCTTCTCTTCTCCAGGTTAAGTCCTTTGGTTTGCAGTGCATGAGCACTTCTCCTAGGTGTTCAAGCAAGCCTCAGTGCTGCCTCTGCACCTGCAGCATCCATAGGAAGGAAAAAAAAGACATTTCTAGATAAAGTCACCCACAAATCATTCCCCACAGTAACTTCTCTGCAGGACACAGGCTGCCACAATAGGAAACTACAGCTGGCTTCTGAAATTGGATTGGAATTTGCTGGGTTTTAAAACTCCTTCAAAGCACTCTGTGCAAATCAGTCCTTCCCAAAGCCTTGGCATAATTTGGGGTGATTTTCCTTTCCTCTTGCCAAACTGCAGCATTGTGGGGATGTAATTGGCACTGATGAGCTGATGAGGTGGTGGAGTTGCTGTCCCTGGACGTGTTCCAGAACCATGGAGACGTGGCACTGAGGATCAGTGGGCATGGTGGGGAGGGTTGGGATTGGGGATTTTAGAGGTCTTTTCCAACCTTACTTTTTTTTTTCTGTAATTGATGGTAGCAGCAGTGTCGACAACATGGGATTATGCAGAAGGCACAAGCAAACCTTTCATGGCCACAGGTTCCTTTAGTTTCTGTTATGCCCCTATTACAAATTCACCCAAAGTCCTGCTTCTTTATCTCAGTGCTTAGCTCCTGCTGGATCTTGTAAATTTGCTTTCAGCTTGCTGGTGAGGCCCCCTACACTTACAGCTCCTTTCCCTTGCTCACAGGGGTCTACTTCCCATCCCTGGCCAGCCTGCTGTCTCAGAGGGTCCGGGAGAGTGAGCGAGCCTTCACGTACAGCACAGTGGGGACCGGCTCACAGTTCGGGTAAGTTCAGAAGGCAGATGGCTTTGAGCAGCGAGTGACAGTCTCAGGACATCCTGATGATGAAAGGACATTAAATAGTTGGAGGCAAAACTTCCAGCCTGAAGTGCAGGCAGGTGCCTGGGTCCTTGAGGATGCTGCCTGCAGCTGGGGAAGCCTCAGGCAGTTGCTGTCTGTGCTCTCACGCACACGTTGCTGAAGACTGCGTGTTCTCTGAAGTGTGCTGTTTGCTCTTGAGCATGTCAAAGATTTCTGTGTTGTTGTTTTTTTCACTTTCCTTCCAAGACAGACTTTGAAGAGCAACATTTAATTACTCTGGGAAACAGCCTGATCCGGTAGGAAAAGCAGGGGTCAGCCCAAGACTGCTCACTGTCCCCTGACAGATGACAACAATAGAATTTTCCCATCTCTGCTAATTTCCTTTCTAAATGGAAGGGCTGCTTAAAAGCCATACAGCAATTTTGCTGTGTTTAATCACTCGCTTGTGGGGGTTAGAAATGAGCCATCCTGTGGTTTGCCTTACAGGACGCTGGTGATCGGAGCTGCAGGATCTCTGCTGCTGGACTGGTACGGCTGGGAGAGCGTTTTCTACTTCTCTGGTTTGCTCACTTTGCTCTGGGTTTACTGCACCTGCAAGTACCTGCTGACAGAGAAAGGTAAAATCAGCCCTCCTGCCTCGGGTGGCAGCTTTGCATTGCCAAGGGTGTGTTACGTGGTGGGTTTTCCTTGGGTCTCTTTGTGTTGTGTCTGCCTGAAGATGCTGAACCCAGAAACAAGATTTTGAGCTTTTGCTTTGCTGAGTTTCTGTTCCCAGTCCCATGCTGGATTATATTGCTGTCAAGAGTTTGCTCTGACTCTTCCATTCCTTTAAGCACTGGTGAAAACACCACGCAGAGCCTGATCTGCTAAGTGGATTAAGCTAAAGCAGGGCAAGATACTTATTCCCAGCTAAGGGCATCTACACACAGAGCTTTTACAGACCAGTTAATCCTGAATATCTCTTCCAAATAACTCCGGGTGTAAATCCACACATGGGCAAACAATGACACCTGGATACAGTGTTATTAGTGCACATGGGATGCAGGAGCCCAGCTCACCTTGTGCCTGGTGCTGCATGGAATCCAGAGCTGCCCAAAGAGCTGTTGTCCAGAAATTCAACAAATGGTGAGGGTGGCTGGGTGGAGTGGTGGGTGAGTGCTGTGGAAGATCTTGGTGAACCTAACAGGAGCATCCACTGCCAGTATTGCAGAGTTAGAGGAGATCGAAGTGCTTGAGTGGTCTCTCAAATCTGGTCCAGCTTGCACAGCATATTGCTGATCAGAGCTTTCTTTTGGCTGTTTTTGTCCCTTCAGATCTCATCATCCCCATAGACTATTTAATGAGAAGCATCTCAATCTCGAAGCAGAGCAAAGTGCCTTGGAAGCAGCTGTTTAAGAAGGCACCGATATGGTAGGCAGCTGACGGAGCTCTGAGTGCTGTGCCAGGACAGCGGGGCTGGAGAGCATCCTCCTGCCAGGGCTTCTCAACTCGTTGTGCTTGTTTGTTCTGTGCGTTTGTACTTTGCCCTTTTGCATTTGGAAAACATCACCAGGTTTGCAGGCTGCTCCCTGGGTGAGTCCTGTGCTTCTCCAGAGCACCATTCCCCAACAGGCTTGTTAGAAACACTGCTTGCAGTGAGCTCCTAAGCAGTGCCGTGGCCCTGCATTCTTGCTGTTGGAAAAGCATCTCTTTATAGCCCTTTTTTTAGGGAGGAGGATTCTGAATTGGGCACTGAGGCTCATTGGAGCACAGCAGTGGGTTCCCAGGGTCTGCTAAAGGCAGGGCAGAGGGGCTCACTGCCCTGAACAACCGTGGGCCATCTGCTGATGGCAGGGCCTTAGGAAGCCCTCGGTGCCACCTCCTGCAGCTGGGTCAGTGAACCTGTCCTGAGCCTGTGCTCTGATGTCAGGCACGGAGAGAAGGATGTGGGAGTGCATGGTTAGAGCAGAGAGCTGCAGTTATCTGTGAAAAGATCTCTGGAAGCAACTGCAGCACTCAGAGGGATTTAATTATAGACCAGGAACTGCAATGCTGCACTGCTGGGCTGGTTCCTCTTACCCAGCTCACTGCCTCCTCCCTGCTGTGTATTCCCAGGGCTGTCATCGTCGCACAGCTGTGCACAGCCAGCACGTTTTTCACCCTCCTCTCCTGGCTGCCGACTTTCTTTAAGGAAACGTTCCCCGAGTCCAAGGTAAGCAGTGGTGGGGGGAGGAGGGCTGGGCTCCCTGCACTGCTTTCACAGAGTGGGGTGGTTTTCTAATGAACAACACAGGGCTTGCGACACCGTGCTGTTGCAATGACTCCATGACTGGGTTTTCATGGGGATTTTAGCTATATTGACATTGCACAGCTCAGAGAGATCTGCAGAAGTGGTCGTTACCATTGATAACGTGCACTTACTGGGAATGCTTCCCTCTCCCCAGTGCAAGCATTCCCATCTTTCAGAGTCCTGCTCCTCTGGGCTGAGTGCTGCTGCCTATCCTGCACTCAGAAACTGACACGGCCTTTTCCACAATAGCTCTGTTAGGATTGGGTTTTGTTCTTTTTTTTCCCTTTTTTGGGTAATTTTCAGAGCTTAAACATGCCTTTTATTATTACATCCATAAAGTCCTTTATGGCATCCTTGGTATTTATATTACAATCATGTATTAAACCAGCAAACATATTGTTGTGACGGGATCTGTGCACCTCTTGTAATGCGCTCGCAGCGGTAATTTACCATCTGCTGTGCCTTATATCATGGTTCCCTTATGTAAGATGCTCCATACAGTGCTCCTGCATCCAATAATCGCTTCATATATTTTAATAAACCGGGGCTTGATGATGCTTGATTTTAAAGGATAATCCTTAGTGTGGTAAAACTGTGTCACCTGCTGGTCAGATGCCCCTGCTGCAGGTGAGATGCCTTCACCCACCCCCAGCCCACCTGGATGGATGGAGATGCAGGAGCGTTTTGGCATTGGGATGAGACAAGGGTGGCTTTGGTGTGTTGGGACCAAGTGTGCTGAGTAACCCCAGCTGGTGCTACAAGAGACACAGAACTGCAAGCCCTACGGTGGTACATTTTCGAAAGAGACCAAGAACTAAAATTTCACCGGTGCTGAGATGCAGATGGATGCAGTTTCCAAGAGCAGCCAGAGCAGGATTACTCAAACCAGGAGCACTCATCCCTCTGTGCATCCCTCTGCTGCAGGGTGTGTCCATGGGGTTCTGAGCAAAGGGGCACGGAGGGGATGAGCTGAGATGAACGCAGCCCAACACACAGCGAGTTCAGCTCCTTGTGGGATCTGGGCACTAAATGCCTCTGAGCAGCAGTAATCCAGATGACCAGCAATCATCTGTGATTACAAATGTAGCAAGCTTGCTGAATTGAAAATAGACCAAGGCATGTTGTTGCTATAATGTTACCTAATCCTGGCGTTACAAAATCCAGCTACGTTCCCTCAGCTTCCTGCTAATGCTGCTAACAAGGCTGAAGCCCCTGCTGAAAATGCTGCCAGCTTCTTTGTGGGTGACCCACAGGGCAGAGCTACACCCGCAGCTCCCAGAGCTCCCCGGCTCTCTGCACATCGCTGTGCTGAGCACCAAACTTTGTCACACTCAGTCCTCACTGCTGGGATTTGCACAGGGACAGAGAGAGCAATGCTGCCTGTCCTGGCCTGGCAGGCAGCCACAGCCTGGGCGCTGTGCTCTGGGAAGGCAATAGAGGCCTGTAAGAAGTTCTGCTCCCTTCATGTGTGTCCTTTCTTTGCAAAACATTTGCTCTGACAGCAGCCCTCTCTTGACTTTTGCTGTCTTTCAGGGCTGGGTGTTCAATGTTGTTCCCTGGCTGGTTGCAATTCCAACAAGCTTGTTCAGTGGATTTCTGTCCGATCATTTAATTAATCAGGGTAAGAGCCCTTCTGGCTTTTCCTCAGCTCTTATTTTATGCGTTGTGGGAACAGAACTGGGAGGAGGAATGAGAGAGGCTTGTTGGGAAGGAGGAGAAGTCCCAGCAAACAAAAAACATGCAGTCCTGATGACATCAGTGGGAGTGCTGCCCCATCCATGTTGTTGGAGCTCTCTTTGGTCTTACAAGATCCATCCAGAAATGAGCTCTGGCCGTCTGAAATCACTTTGTGCTCTCCTGGCTGGGAACAAGGAGAGCTGTTGAGCTGCCTTAACTGAGGCTCTTCCTTCTCTTCCAGGGTACAAAACCATCACCGTTCGTAAGTTCATGCAGGTAAGAGAACTGAAGCCGTGGGAGTAGCTTGAGCTACCTGCTCATGGAAAACTCACGGAGGTATTTGATTTTTCTCTTTTTCCAGGTCATTGGCTCTGGAGTCTCAAGCATGTTTGCCCTGTGCCTGGGTCAGACATCTAGTTTTTGCAATGCTGTCGTGTTCGCCTCAGCCTCTGTTGGGCTTCAGACCTTTAACCACAGGTACCCACAGCCCCTCAGCTCCCACCCCACACTGGTGGGGCTCTATGAGCAGCCTGCTTCCATCCCACCATTAGTGCTAACCCTGAGCATCGCCCTCTGATCTGTGTGCTGCAGGGCATGCAGGACTGAGCAGCTTGTGGGGGCACAAAGCAGGAGGTGGATTGCATTTCATCCCCTCTGAGCGCTTGGAGCTGAATCCTTCTATATTGCTCTGCTTGCAGCCTCTTCCCTCCTTGTTCTCTCTCACCGGTATTATCTGGGATCCTTTCCTTTGGTTGGACCAGCTAAACTCAGTGCAAATGATGACAAATCAAATCCTGCTCCGTTAAAGCTGCCATTTCCCTCTCTGTTTCTCACTAGTGGCATTTCAGTGAACGTGCAAGACCTGGCCCCATCCTGTGCTGGCTTGTTGTTTGGTAAGGAATCCTCTGGGCTGTGTGGGGGACAGACAGGCCTTGGGATGTTGAGCTGTGTGCCTGCAGCCTCAGCTCCCTTCTGTGCATGGAGCTGCCCTCATGGAGCTGCACAGACATGCTGCTTTGTTTGTCTGATGGCTGACAGCAGGACGGGTGAAGCGTTGGTTGGCCCCACCATTTGCATGGCATTTTGCTGTGCACACAGAACGAATGGGTCGGGTTGGCAAGCCAGGTGGAGATGTGCATGTCTTCATGTTGTTAACACCCAATTCCTGTGAGATGAAACAAAAGGGCATTTTCCCTCTCTTTGCAGGTGTTGGAAATACAGGCGGGGCTCTGCTAGGTAAGGCACTCCCTGCAGCTCATCCCATGGGCAAGCAGGATGCAGCCCCTCTGCATTTCCATCTCTTCCCTCTGTGCACAGGTGTGGTTTGCGTGTACCTGGCTGGATATCTGATGGAAACAACGGGCTCCTGGATTTCTGTTTTCAACCTGGTGGCTGCTGTCAACAGTGTTGGTCTCTGTGCGTTCCTGGTGTTTGGAGAGGCCCAGAGGGTGGACACAGACTCTGCCTACATTGACATGTAGCAATGAGTCTGAGGAGCAGTGGAAGGAGTGGGGTGTGTCACGTCTGTGTGCCACTGATGCACAAGTGCCAAAGAACATTATTGTTTTGTGGGTGTTTTAATGGGACGTAAATGACTGGGACCATGTGTGCAGTGGGTCTGAATGAAACCCACAGCAGAAGAGAAAGGTAGAGTTCCTGTTTTGCTCAGGGCATGGCTGGTGGTTGGTGAGGCCATCCAGTTCAAAGTCTACACGTGAGAATGTGGCCTTGGTTTGCCCCTGTCCCTTTCAGGGGCCATATATGCTGGTGGCTGTCCTGCTGGACGGGGCTGCAGTTTGCACTCTCAGCTTACAGAGTGCAGAGCATGGGAACGGCTGCGCTTGGCCGCCCTGTGACTGCGTGGGGTATTTCCAACGCGTGGCTTTTTGTCTGGACTGAAAGCAAAATCCAAAAGAATGCACCTCTGACCTTAACCGCTCCTCGCGTGCCTTTGTTTTGCAATCTGCTCTGCAGGTCCAACCCAGGTGCACATGTGAAAAGGTTGTGAGATGGATTCAAGGCTTCCTTCAGGGCAAGTGAGGATCTCTAGCTGGGAGCCCTGGGCAGGACATCCCATCCACACTGCCTTCACCACGCTCGTGCTGAGACCTCAAAGCTCAAACCCTTCACTGGGGGGGACGTGGAGCTGTGCTCCCTCGTAGTGCAGGGACAGCTGAGGAATCCTCCAAAGTCATTTCACTGTATGCTGTGAATGTATGTGAAGAACTGGTCACGTGCAGTGCTATGGATCTGTGCTCCCTGCTCTGTCAGAGGTGTCCTCCGTGTGCTCTTGAAGCACTGGGGGCAATCCCAAAGAGCACACAGTGGGCATGGAGTCTGCATGAGGTGTAAAGCCAATTCCTACATTGGGGACCCATAGTGCTGGATGTGGATCCACATTGTTCCCTGTGTCAGGGGGAAATACTTGGCTGTTCAAGTCTCTGAGCCTGAATGTCTGAAGTTATTTATAAATATTTTTAAATTTAAGTACCAAATTCTATATTTTATGTACTGGAGGCCTGATTCTGCATGCCTGTTTTCTGTGGTACTCCCAGCAAAGCCCATGGGATTTCTAAAGGGGAAGGATTTAGCAGCCTACAGCTTCTGCTTTTGTAGGATCTATGTTTTGTGTGACATTTCACGTTAAAGGAAGTCACTGCTCTGTCTCTCACCCTTCTCTCACAGCTCACCCAGCACTTCAGTGAGTTAACTGCATTATCTGCCTCTGTAAACTGGCCAGAAAGTTACAGATCTAAGGCCAGGTTCCACCTTCAGGTATCCTCAGCAAAGCATTGAGCCCCCTTTTCCACAGCTGTACAATTATTAGTTTAAGTAGCATTGCCAAAGCTTGCTATCAGAGATTGTGTTATGGAAGGACCTACAAAATAAAGGCAGCAAATTGTTTCACACTGTGTGGTTTCCCTTGGAAGCAGAGATGCTCAAGAGACAGAGCTCAAGTGCACTCAGTGTCACCAACCTGCTGGGGCTGCGGAGGGGGTGGGAGGCTTTGCTGGGAGAAGAGCAGGACTGGTGGATCACAGCATTCTCATGTGTGTGCTCATATTGGAAAAATGACCAACAAGCTGTTTTCTGGACACTTTAGCATCAGAGGACATGGTTTGGGGTCATTTGTTGGAGTGATAACAGGATTGAACCGAGTCTGCTGTCAGATGGCACATTCCCTGCACACAGACCGTCTTCTGCCTGGAGACTGTGTAAAAAAACCAGCACAAATTGCCAACTTTTGTGCAACCTCACTGATAGGTTCGTGCAGATGCCAACAGAGGGAGCTGTTAGATTTGGGATGTGGGAACTGCTGCCAGCCCAGAGCTGCTGCTCCTGGCCTTGGCACAGCTGGCACAGTTGGAGCAGGCGCTGTGCATGGCACTGCTGGCACAGCTGGTTGTGCTGGGCAGAGAGCAGAGCTGCTCACCCCTCCGAGCAGCACTGAAGAGCAGAGCCATACAGTGGCTGTCTTTGTCCACATAGGAGATGTCTTTGAGGACCATGGGATCTACTAATTTTCTTCTGTGCATGCTTAGAAAAGAGACCACAGAACTCAGTGCTATCAAAATGATGCTGAAGTCAGTTGAATAGCATATGTGTTGTCTTCAGCCCTTCCTATCCTGCTCCTCTGCATATAAAGATGCAAACCACCTCTGGTAGGCACACTTGAGCTCTTCTGGCCTGAGGAGCTCTGAGCAGCCGCAGATCACCCCAAAACCTGCCCCGTTCCTCATCATAGTGTGAAAGGGACTGGAAATCTGCAGCTGTGCTGATTAATTGCAGGTACACTGTACTGCTGTTGTGGGTTAGAATTGCTGGGTCTGTTTGTATTTAAGTTGTTTAGAGTACATTCAGTAGTTGGCATTGGCCTGAGAGCACTGAAAGAGCACTGGTTTACTGCAGTTTGCCTAAGACTAAATCAATGTAATCATTCAAGCAGATGGGAAGCAGAACACAGGAGTAAAGCAGCACATTTGGAGGGGAGAAGAGATAGCAAGGAGCACTCCTCCCTGGTACGTCCTCACAGGAAACACAAGCAGATGCTCTCGAAGCAAAGCCCTGCTCTGACACCCACCTGGCAGCTCCCCAGGGTCAGGATGTGCCCCAAAGGCATCGCTGTTCTGCAAAGGGCACCGCGCTCTGCGCTGTCACAAGCAAAATACCACCATTTATTGCAGCCGTGACCTACTGCATGCCACCTAATGAGGAATTTTCCATCTCAAACTTTAATGTGATAATTAAGATGTCCATTAAGGTCTTTACAGTTTGACTGCTTGTAATTAAGAAGCAGGATCAGGGGGTATGGAGGGGGGGGGGAAGCAAGGAGTTACGGCTGAGAGCATCAAGCCGCTTCATGTACTCTCCCCTTTCCATTGCTCTGTTTTGTTTCTTGCCTTAAAAGCATTTTCCTGCAGATGTGGGGTGTCTCTGGCCAGGGTGATCCCTGGGGATGAGATCTCTGGAGCACAGAGTGCCCTGGGATAACCAAAAATGCCATTGTGATTATCAGTAATGGGGCTTTGTGCTTCAGTTCCTTTCCATACCAACGGAGTTCCAAGCTTGTGGTGTGGGATTAAGGGTGGGGAAGGCTTTAATCCAATAATAAAATGAGAAGAACCCCCCTCTCCCTCCCCCCCCCCTCATAAATCCACATCTTCCAAAGTGCCTTTGCTCCTGAGAGGCCAAAGCTCCATTCTCCAGTAATAGGATTTGGCCTCCTACTGCAGTTCTGAAACACTTGCAAAATTTTGGTTCCAAATTGCCAGATTTTTGTAAGGATTAACAGCAACTAACGGGGGTGACTGTGGAAGTAGCTGCCAGAAAAGCTCCGGCTGATCCCTCGAATCCCTTCCCAAATTGTGTTTCCCTGCCCTGCCCATCCTGGTGACTCGCTCTTGTTCATCCAAACGCAGCTCCTGCCGCGATCTCCTGGCACTTTGGCATCAATTATTCTCCAATTGTTTTTAATTTCAGCTCCGTAGGAGAAAAGAAAGAAAAAAAACCCCACGCACAACCCCTTGCATGGGAGACAACGGGAAATACACGTGTAGCAATTATCTGTAGGATTGTACACAGAGAATTAGGAAGCTGCTCGTGCATGTCCTGCATGCTCATTACAGGAGCGGTTTGTGGCTGGCGGGGGATTTTCCTGTGCAGTCATTGGGGGTCGTTGCAGCTGTTAAATTCCTTTCATGTGTTTCCTGTTGGTTGTTGTTTTTTTTTTTTTCTTTTTCCTACTGAATTTTACACAAACCCACTGATTCATAACCTCTCCCATGTACCCCTCGTGTGAGGTGAACACTTTTGTCCTCTGCTCTCCAGAAGTGCTGTTGAGGTGTTTGGTGTAGGGTGGGCATGAACCTGGGCTGGGCATGAGCACCATCCTGTGCTTCTGCTCATGTGCTCAGTGGGTTTGGGGTACAGATGAGGTCCCCATGCATTCCTGTGCTCTGAGGATGGAGCATTTGCTTTCTTTGACACCCCAAGCCCTGGGTATTTATGGTTATTCCACAGAATAAAGCCCCCGAGCAGATAGTACCATCAGCAAGGATATTGGCAGATAACAGACCGGAGGTCTTCAGCTGAATATGTTATCATTATCTCTTTTTTTTAATTTCACTTCATTTCAGCCCGTCTGAGGCAAATTTGCTCTTCGGAATAGTTGGGAGCCACCTGGACCAACAAGAGCTCACCCCAAAACTCTGTCCCTGCAGTGCCATGTATAGAATCATAGAATCTCAGAGTCGCTGAGGTTGGAAAAGATCTCTAAGATCTCCATGTCCAACCCCAGCCCAGCCCACTGTGCCCACTGCCCACCTCCCTCAGTGCCACATCTCCACAGCTCCGGAACACCTACAGGGATGGTGACCACACCTCCCCATAAGCTGCTGTGCCACTGCATCACTGCTCTTTCTGAGAAGAAAGACAACTGAATTGCCAGTGCCCTTTTTTTGACATGCTGCATGGCCTCCACGTTTTTCTTGCAGCAAGAATCAGTCATTGCTCTCAATAAAGAACCCAGTTCCTCTCTTTGATGCAATACAATGCCATTTTTGTCTTGTTTTGTTGGTGTCTATCTGTCCTTGCACTCCTCCTCCTTGGAGATTTCTGGATTAAAGAATATAGCACAGAATTGATTTCCTGGGCATGCATTAGAGAGGATTATTCCAGGAGATTCATCCGTGTTGGGTGGATTAGCATTTCCAGGGAAGGGCACCCCCTATCTCAAGCATTACTTCTCTTGACATTTCCTGAAACATTCGATTGCTTTAGCAAACACAGAGAATGCCTGTAAGAGACAGCAGAAATATTCAGTGTTTGAGCTTCAGTGCTTTTAGTAACACTGTCATTTCCCACACAAATGTATGGAGGGTGTTTTGTGAGAGTTTTCTTTCTGTTTTCCCTTTCCCTTTCCCTTTCCCTTTCCCTTTCCCTTTCCCTTTCC